TGGTAGCTGAAGTATTGGATGGAAGGATTGGGTGGTTGAACTTATTGACGAGATGATTATTTAGGTGTCAACTAGGGCTCTTTCTCGGTATTATGTCAATGTCCGATTTGGGTTCTTGCAAAAAATTTCACTGTAAATTTTTGGAGGAAAAAGTTGTTAATGCAACTGGTATTAATTGAAGTTGTTTGAGGTTTAATTGAACCAATGCATAAGGTATGCTAATAAATACTTTTGGTGTGATATTGTACTAAGGCTTGTGAGAGAAGTAGGCACTTGTGGATATTCCTATTAAAGTGCTATTAAATTAATAAGTCATGAATCATACTATTTTTTATTCTTTTTAGACAAATGAAAATTTTTTTAACTTTTATTTAATATGTTTATGTTATTTTTATATTAAATGAAAATTAGCCAGTAAAAATAGAAAAAAAAAAGAATATAGTAATTATTATTATTATTATTAAATTCTTTTAATTTTTTAATTCAAAATTGATAATAATTTCATCTTTATAAATCAAAACGATAATTATATTGTAATTTAACTGTTATACGTATTTTATATATATTTTAAAAATATAAATTAAATAATATTAATTTATATATAAATATTTAAATAAATAAAATTAATTCGTGTATCGCACGAATCACAAGTTAATTATTGTATAAAATAGGACTATAGTTTTACATGACGGGGTCTTTATTAACATGTGACTGTTACTTTCCGTGCTAAGGAGGGTAAGATAATAATAAGCACAACAAAATTAATGAGCAAAGCAATCTTTAATTAATTAATTAATCTGATCCTTAATTTCCTTTTGTTATACGTCTAGTTTGTTTTGTCAAAGAATGTTCCGTTCTGATCACGTTCTTGTCTAGTTGGGCTCCTTTCATTCCAATTTTTGTATTGGTCTTCCTAATAAAGTGAGGATTGAGGTAAAGATTATTGAGCTGAAATATGGCTTCAAAATTAGCTTTACTCCTTTTGTCCATGAGTAATAGAAATTATTCCTAATAAATTATATAAATTAAAGAGGGGGATCAACTTATATAAAAAAAATTATATATTTTTTATTATTAATTTTAATAAGTCAAAGAGATGAAATTAATTTATTTTTTATTTGACTTTTTTATTTTTTAAATTTATTGAAATCAATTATTAAAAAATGTGTCAAATTTTTTAATTTTACACTAATATAAATTGATTTTCTCTTAAATTAAAACTAAAAATAATAAAAAGCTATGAGTTAAATTATATAAAGATTGAATTCAAGATATCAGAAACATAAAAGCAATTTAATTTGGATAATAATTAAAGCACTTGAAACACTTGACCAATTCCATTTGGTTCTCTTTTAGTTTGGTTCTGATAGGCTGGAGTACTTTGATAATCTGAATCAGTCAAGTTTTCAAAGAAGAATGATAAGAAGCCTATCACGTTATAAATTTAGAAGCATCAAATTTTAAATTAATTGACATTTAATTAAATAGTTCAATTTAAATATAAAATTATAAAAAAATTAAATATTTATTAAATATAAAATAATATTATTTTAACAAAATGATTATACTTTTTAAAGAGTAGTAAAACGATGAATTATCTACTCTAATTATTAAATTTAACTGAATTAATTGCTTAGAATCAAATTATTTTGATTAATTGATCCGTTATTGAAATAATTCAATAAGTTATCAATATAAAATTTAAGAGTTTTTTAGGCATTGATTAATATGATTTGACAGAAATGCCCTCTCCCTCCACCTCAGCGCCCAGCTTCCACGCCAGCATCTACTCATGCTTCACTTGATTCAGCAACTAACTTCCTAGCTCAGCATCCGCCTCTGCATCTTGCCTTCGAAACTTGCACCCTTCTGTAACTAACTTTTAACCGAAAATCAAAAATTGGAAAATTAACGTACGTCACCTCTCACTCTCACTATTCTAGAATCCCCCTACTTACTTTTTGCATTTCTTCTGAGTTTTCCCCGCATCCTTCATTTCTCCTTCGCTTTTCAATTCATTTTGGTATTTTAATATTAAAATTTAGTGCTTGGTGTAAATTTCCGTTATTAATGTTATAATAATTGAAATTCAGTTAAAGTTAAAACTGATTGAATTAACTAAAATGTTTTTAAAACTTAATTTTTTGGTAATTTAGTTCAATTAACTTTATAAAAAAATTAAATACATATTTGGTTTCTAAATTTTAAAATTTTTATTATTTTGGTACTAAAAAATTTGTATTGTCATTTTGATACCTAAATTTTCAAATCATTATCATCTTAGTATCTTTGACTAATGTCATTAGTCAACTTTACTTACGTAGTATTAATATTTAATAAGATGTTATTCTTTGTTAAAATTCAATCAATATCACATCATCATTGTCATGTTAGTATAAAAAAGATAAATTTTAAAAAATTCTTTAAAAATTAAAAATATTAAAAAAATCTTAAAATATTAAAAATTTTTTCAATTCCAATTTTTTTTTACAATTTTAAAAATTTGTAAAAATTGCAAAACTTCAAAAAAATTAAAAAAACTTTAAAAATTTTAAAAATTTCTAAAAATTTCTGAAAAAATTCTAAAATATTTTAAAAAATTTTATATTGTATTAAAAATATTTTAACTATAAAAAATTCTAAAAACTTTATAAAATTATAAAAACATTAAAAAATTCTCAAAAAATATTAAATTTTTTTATAAAAAATTCTAAAACATTTTTTTTAAATTTACCAAAAATTATAAAATTTGTTTCAATTTTAAAACTATAAAAATTTAAAAACTTAAAAAATTCTAAACAATTCTAAAATTTTTAAAAAAATAATAATAAAATTCTAAAAATTAAAAAAAAAATTAAAAATTTTGAAAAAAAATTCTCACAAAATATTAAAAAATTCTAAATTTTTAATAAAACTCTATAAATTTTAAAAAAATTCAAAAGAATTATAGAAAAAATTTTAAAAATTTTGAAAAAAATAAAAAAATTAGAAAATAATTAAAAATTTATAAAAAATTTTTAATTTCAAAAAATTGTCAAAAATACTAAAAATAGTTTTAAAATATTCTGATTTTTTTTTTAAATAATGGTTAAATGTTTAAAAACATTTTTAAAATTTTCAAAAACTTTTGAAATTTATAAAACTTAAAAATATGGAATATTTTTATAAACTAGAAAATTATCATAATTTAAGTTTTTTAAAATTTGAAAATTTTTTAAAAATTAAAAATTGAAAAAAAGTAAAATCATAAAAATTAAATTTTATAAAAATGAAATTCTATAAATTTATAAAAAAAATTAAAAAAGTTTTCAAAAATTTTTAAATTCCCTTAATTAGTTTCGAATTTTTTAAAATTTTCTAGAATTTTCTAGAATTTTTATAAATTTTTTTAATATTTTAAAATTTTTAGAAATTTTTAAATTTTTTTCTAATTTTTAAATTTTTAAAATTTAAAATTTACATTTTTTAAAAGGTTGAAAGTTTTTTAGAATTTTTTTAAATTTTTTAAGAAAATTTTAAAATATTTTATATTTTTGAATTTTCTAAAAGTTTTTTCAAAATATTTTAGAATTTTAGAAATTTGAAAATTTGTTAGAATTTTTAACAAAATTTAAATTTGTTTTTGAAAATTTTAGATTTTTTTAGATTTTTATTTGAATTTTTAAAATTTTTAGAATTTTCTTAGAATTTTTTAGTTTTTCTTTGAACTTTTTAAATTTTTTTGAATTTTTTCTTGTTTTTCTTTTTTATGTTGACATGACAATAATCATGTGATGTTGATTGGATTTTTTAACACATGTCAGTATCTTATTGATTGTTGATACTATATCAATGAAATTGAATGACAACCTTAGTTTGAAATATATAATTTTGAAAGTTCAGGTACAAATGTGATAGAAAAATTTTTCAAGTACCAATGTGACAAAAATTTTAAAGTTTAGAGATTAAATATGTATAAAAAATGAGTTTATATTTGATATATTATTAATATATAGATTTTATACACTGTTAGTGAATCAGATATTGATAATTCATTAATAAAATAAATTAGATGATAACACTTTATTAATGAATAAGTTCTTTAAAAAAATTTATTTTATGTATATTTATTTTAAGAGCTGATATTTATTAATTAATGAATTATCATCATCTAATTTACTAATAATGTATAAAATTTATACACTGATAATGTATCAAATATAAACTCATAAAAAATATAATTCAATATATTCAATTAATGATTTTTGGGTTAAGGTTTTAACCAAACCGGCAACGCACATCCCTAATTAAATTTATATAAAAATATATAAAGTATGGATATAAAACAAGTGTTATTTGTTTCAATGCTTGTATTGAGTATTTCAAAATCATATTTAGTTTTATTTTTGTACTCAAAATTTGATATTCAAATAAAAAATCAAATTTAATATGATTAAAATTGTCTAAATTGAGATTCGCATATATTGAGGAAATGATATTCCAAAATATATATAACGATGAAAAAGTCAACCCACCAATTAAAATCATGTAACAGAACAAAAAAAAGCTCAAAACTAAAAAAAAAAAAAAAAAATTGTCAAAGTCCTTGTTGCGATTAATTCAAGATAAAAAAAAAATAAAAAAAAAAATAAAATATTTTGCAAATTGATAGTTTGGATGAGGAAGAAAAGTTCAAGGAGTCTGTAACTCTCAATGGCAGACCAAGACCAGAACCAGATCATGACTTGAAAGAAAAGCAACCCCACACGACTTGGCAGAAGCAGTTAAAAGGAGAAATGTCAAAGGTGTAGGGCAAATCGTGTTGTTGACTTCCATTTTAAAAATTTGAAGTTAGGATAGATGTTTATTGTCAATAAAAAAAAAGACAAAATTTGTGATGACGTTTTATTTGATATGATATTTAATTAATAATATGTTGAACTTTGAATTTTAATAATTAAAATTTTAATTTTAATAGAAAAAATGTACGTGCATTGTATGAAACCTTCTGCCCTTTTATTGTGACAGCTTGATGAGAAGAAAAAGTAAGTAGCCAAATTCATGGCTCATACCATTTAAATTTCGATATAGATGTTTCACTTGCCCTGACCAAATCCTAATCAAAATTAGAGAGATTCAGGATTCAGGTACATGAGCAAGACTCTTAATTTGTGAACAAGTCTTTATAAACGTGTAACCATCTCAATCCCAATAGGCGTCCCTTCGTGGATTTTTATATACAATTTTCAGAATATAATAAACCCGGTGACACTACCAATGGAGCCGGAAACTAGCTGCCTGCATTACTGGATGCAGAAAATATGCAGCTAGTGTCAACGCAGTGATGGTCAAATAGGGCAATCGAATAAATTCCTTGTAGTAATCTTTGGGCAATTTTTGACGGCCATCAAGGATAGCTGCAAATGGAATGATGCTTGTTCGCTTCTTTACAGCTTCAAAAGCCTCCCCGTGTTGCATAGCTAGTCTCCTGTCACCATTCCAAACACCAAATAGATGATGTCCAATCAAACCAACAGAGGCTGAAATGGCTACAGAGTTTCCAATCCAAATTGTGTGGGCCATGCACCAGATCACCTGCCCTACCATCTGAAAAGATAGAGAAAATTACGAAGTTGATAATATGAAACATAGAAGAAGCAACAGAAAGTGATCCACAAGTAGATGCGTGGAAGTAAACAAACAAAATAATCCAATTCCATATAGACAATCACATGCTTTTTTTTTTTTTTTTGGTTGGGGGGGGGGGATTGACTTAGTTGATGGAGAATACCATTTCAACGGCTCAAAAGCTTATTCCCTATCACTAGCAGTGTATAAACATACATTCCTTTTCAAGAGCATATTTGACTACAATGGGTGGCCTTTGTGGTTACATATTGCAGGATACAGGCCAGCCTAATATTCACTAAACCAAATGACTACAAAGCGCCAACATATTAAATGGACATTAATATCAAAAAAATAGTAGTGAACCTGTGGATGTCGGGTGATTCTCATGATGCCAGTTTCCCAAAGATGCATTTTAGGCTTGTCCACGGCTGCTACCTCTAGTAAATTAAAGGTAGAAGGATACAGGAAAAAGAAGGAAATAAAATTTGAAAGCCATACAAGTTGATGGACTCCTGGAGCATTTTGAAGCTGCCATAACTGCAGGCCATCATACCTGTGGTTGATGAAGTATACCTGCAATGCAAGCACAGAAAGTCAACGGTTGGTATAAACTCCACCATGCCTTTGAGAGGCCAAGAATTTCAAACTAAAGCTGCAAGTCAATGAAAATCAACTTTAGATGAGAGTGCTTTCGTTCAGGGCAAGAAATTTGGAACTCACAACTGTGCTAACAGCCAATGGAAGAGATAAGCCAGCAAAAAGAACACGGTATGCACGTTTTCCCAAGAGTTTCTCACCCATGTCCCGGAAACTAGCCAAGCCACTATGGACAGTGGCAAATATGAGAATGAGGATCAACATTACAATCTGTGAAAGAAAGTTTTGAGGCCCAAAGTCACATTATTAAAAAGCCCTATTAAAGAAAACAACAGGAATGACTACAACAGAGCAAGAAATCGTGGATGGCTAATGACTTATAACAAATATGTTCCTTATGAGCTAATTTCAAATACACAGTGAGGTAAAATTGAATTCTAAAAACACAATAGAAAATTAGTCAATCTCTTCTACATAGTAAAATGAAGATAAGAGCTAATTCCAAATAGACAGCAAGGTATCACTCATCTGTTTTTGTAATGGAAAAGAGCTTCAATAATTCAAAAGTACATTCAGCTGATCACTCATGAGAAGAAATTAGTTTGTTGAACGTGTCCTATACATGATGGGGCATGATTAGAGCAGTCAAGATCATTTAAATCAATAGCTAAAGTTACAGGTTCTAGAAGTAGAACTCTTTGGTCTAAGGAATAGATCCATGTCTACTGTTGACGAACTAGGTCCATTATTCTAATAGCTTAATGAAGTTCTATTGATTAGGGTAATGTTGTGATTTTTATTATAATTCACGAATGATAAAGGGCCAATTAATCAATCAGTAGTACTACAAATAAGTCCTCAATAACACAAATCTTAGTACAACAAACTATACCACATAAAAGTATATAGGGAAATGGAAGAATACAGACTTAACGTAGTTGAGCTATAATTCCTAAGATAATCTGGTTTTGGAATAAGACCCAACTTTAAATAATTAAACATTCCATACTATTCTAATAATTTAACACAGATGAAGATGAGATCTAATGGATCTCTGAATGCCACATCGTCACATAAGGAATGCATGTTCTTGTCATTAGTTGATCTTTTCTACCTCCAAGGTGCGTTCAAAAGAAAAAGAAACAAATATGCATTCTTGTTTTCTCTTTCCTGCCAAAGTCACTTTGCTCCAATCTGTTAAAAATATAAATTTCAATAGATTCCACTTATTAAGTCATGGGCCATTTGCTGCTTATATATATATTTTTTGCCCAATGGCCATTTGCTGCTTCAATAATCTCATTTAAAATTCCTCAGTCCTCTTCCAACAAAAAAAAAACTTACCAGTCCTTAAAAAATCATTCACACTTCACAATAAAATTTGGAGAGAAATTTAATGAGAACAGATTCTTGTGTTGGGTTGACTAATCTATCTTAGAAACAGGTACATTCATCACTACAGCCCTTATACAACAAAAACAACAAACTAAGCCTTATATCCCATAACTCTAAGGTCGGCAGTATAAAAAGCCAAAAAAGGAATCACTACAGTCCTTATATGCAACAATTTTATAGAAACCCAAAAGCGCTTGGACGTCTGACATCCCAACACCTACCACAACCAAACAGAAAGTAGAATAAATTAAATTCTATTTGAAGTATATTTTGCTTCAGCCTAGCTGGAGATTGTAAATAACAAATGATATCATTAAGCAGCCAAAAATACCTAATTAAGAAAATCTATCCTACAAGTGGACTGCATGAGAGTTGAGACTGTCTGAATTGGTACATAACCATTCTTCTGAAGGTGTTTCAGCAGATAAAAATTTCATGTCGATTCCTTCAAACTCCCAATGCATCTTAATTTTTGTATCTTGCCTTCAACAATTATATGTGATAGGCTGATAGTCCCCCACACATGCATACCCTCAACACCAGCATCAATCGTTTTAGAACTTTCAATTTCCGAACCAAAAGCAATAAACCCAACCAATGCTTTGTTGAACATACATTCTTCATTAGAAATAGGATTATCATCCGTACTTGGAGTTTAAAACCTCCACAGCAAGTTCATATATTTGTTACGTATCTATGAATAAATAAGGAATACGGAATTGAAAAAAGCAATTTCGTAATTTAATTTATCCATTTTGATGGAACGAGGCAAGGGCATAAATTTGTCAAACAATTATTCAAACCAAAGTTACAATTCACCAGGACAAGTATCCAAAACTAGGGCAAGAAAAACTAACCTCATGGCTGTCAGAGAGGCTTGAAACAGCATCAATAAAAACTTTTCCAAAGCCAGTAGAGTTATCAATCCAGACAACATCAAGAACATAAAGAGCAACTCCCAAAATAACAGTAAAATAAACCCAGGAAACGATGTTTTGGGTCCCCAAATCGAAGGCTGCAGAGTCCTCACCCACCAGAGGCAGAGGCTCGTCAGAGGAGGCATCAGTCTCCCCAAGTGAAGCTCGGGCAAGAAATCGGATTCTACGAGAATCTGAGTGGAGAACATGGGCTTCAGGGAATGTGTGATTGGTGGAATTTTTGGGGGCTTTGGGGAAGTGAAGCAGGGAGAGAGATGAGATGGGTTGAAGAGGATGTTTTTGGGCGCTGGGTTGGGGTGGACGAGGAGATGAAAGTAAAGAGTTTGCTACAACGAGACAAGTTGCCATTTTTCCTACTAGGAAAATAGAGACAGAAAAAAAAGCTTGGAATTGGTGGCGTTACTAGACTAAGCTTCCAACGGTGAACCAAACTTACCAGAAAATTATAGCATGTGAGAGTAAGGTTGTAACTTTGCATTAGTGGTGAAAAAATAGGAACTCGAAAAGAAAGTAAGTTATTCGGATTGATTGAAAAAGAGAAAAAAAATATGAATCCTAAAACATATAAATCGAAAAAAAAAAATCTTGAGTCAAAATATTCTAAACTTGAAATAAACTTAAATCATAATGAATTTGAAACCAATTTAATCCCATACCGACAAAAACTCGAATTAATTGAAAGACTCCAACTGTAATTAATTTGAGATTGTTTCAACAATCAAATTTAAATAATTTAAATTTAAAATGACAAATAAAAAAAATAGAATAAAATAATTTGATTTTAATATTACCTACTCCTCTTCCATTTCAACCATACAATCCTCCAACCTCACTTCCATACAATCCTCCAACCTCACCTCCAAAACTTTTTTTCACATATTTTCAGTACAAACCTCCCCAACCAGACAAATCTGTGATTACAAAAGCGAAAAATTCAAAGATTCGGAACTCCATTATCACTCTACACTAAAAGAAATTTTAGTTGTAAAGTATAGTATCCAAAGATTTGAATTTCACCTCATTGGATTTCACTTTCTCGTGGAATTAGATATGTCAGCCTTTGATCAGATGCTCAATTTCAAAAAGAAAAAAATACCAAATGCACAGTTACTCAGGCTATCATAGTGGTTCTCACAGTATTCCTTCACCACCTCACATATAAAAGGTAAAGACAACCTCATCCCAGACATGCTCACAAGACCTCCTTCGAAACCTCCTTCAAACACTTTGCAGGTTATTCCAGTCATTTCCATGATATACCCAACACCTTCTTCTTCACAAGCCTCTTCTTCAAACAACCTTCTTTTCCCCTCTTCTCAGAAACCTCACCTTGATGATGAATTTGATCTACCTGATGAATTTCTTAACCTTCCCGTGAAAAATCTTCCTCTAGCGTTACCCAGACTTCTTGCCACTCAAACCCTTGACCAAAAAGCCTCACATCTCTTGCTCAAATACCAGTCCAAAATACTCAGAAAGTTTGGAGACACCTCTTTTCAATCTCTTGGTATATACCCTGATTATCCCTTCATCCATCCCTTTAAATTCTCTGAACCTCTTTGTTTCCCAAAAGAAATAGTTTATTTTATGTGGTACCTTTGTCACCTTTACTATATTGCTATAGAATTCCCCTTTCCAAAGCTTAAAACCCTTCTTCACCTTTTTCAGCAGTCAACCATCAACCCTACCAAACACCAGTTGGACCCCAGTCCACAACATCTCAAATTTTTTTTCACCTGGTTCAGACCCATTCCCATTTGGATCCAATGGATTGAAACCTATGAGAGATATACAAAAGTTCTTCCTAATCCTCATATTGTTTTAATCTTTCACAGATCTTACAGTTGTTTGACAAAAGACCCCCAGTATTTTCCCTATACAGTAATTTATAGCTCCCAAGGATATTCGCTGTTTGATTCCCAGTTTGATCACCCAGTTAAATACACTAACTTCCAGACACAAATTTGTGAAATGAATCACAAGTTTCTTAAGCAAAATTGGCCAAAGCTCCAAGATGAAGTTCCATGGGGAAACTATCCTTCAGAGTACACTTATCAGCTCAACATTGATAAAAAGATTTATGAAACTCGCCTTGATGGTGCTTGGACAGAACCTCTTTCTGAAACTACCAGATTTGAACTTGACCATGCAGGCCCAGTAGAATGAAATCTTTACTGGAAACCTCTTAAAGTTATACCACAAATGGAATGGCAAGATTCTCAAGACCCCCTTGATGATTTTGATCCAGATCAATGGTTAGTCAACATCGGCTATGATTTCACACTAAGCGCAGATAATTCACACCTCAACCTCTCTCTAAAACACACTCAACGTTCTCTCAAATGACAGTGCTACAAGACAGAAGATTTTTAGTTCCAGTCCAATATTGTATAATTACATGTGCTAATTTCAGTTTTCTCCAGAAGACTCCACAGAAGTTGATAATGATGCCTTCACATCAAGACAACCTTATGTTAAGTCTTCATCAACTTCATGTCTTAGTCAAGTCATAATGAGTCATTGTACTTTAGTATGAGTCATAGTGCTTAGTCACCATACCTTAAGTGATGAGTCACTATATCATAATAATGAACCTTTATACCATAGTAATGAGTCATTGTACTTTAGTTATGACTCATCGTCCTTTAGTCTTATCCTAAGCCACTTGTAAAGTTACTTTGTCCTAGTCTTATCTTATTAGGCTACTAGTCCTTTACTTTTTTCTTGTATAAATAGCATGATACTTCTCTAGGAAGTAATCATCTATCACTCTAGCAATCAAAAAAATCTCTTGTAACAAAACCTTACTTTATAAAATATGTTTAGCTAAAAACTTCTCTTTTCTTTTGGTAATTCCATCTTTCTTTTTCCATAGTTACATCTTTTAGCTTCATACTTCTCTTCAAACTATTTAAAGTTTGTAGTGATACAAGTTGAGTATGCTCTGCAGTTGCCATATTATTATGGATCCTCTGCATCAGTAATTCTTGTTACTCTGTTAAACAGATCGTTGATCACTTTCTCTCAGCCAAAGAAAAGTCATACCGCCTCAAGATCATACTACTAGTAAGTTACTATAGTGAAAGACATATCTTCATAAAAGTCAGGCCTCCAGTTCGACGTTTAAGCCAAGAAGGCGCTAGAGTCTTAAACACCAACTAAAATATCTTGGTTATATGTCTGATCTATGGAAAGCTTATGGTTGGTATTATTTTGTCAAGTTTGATCGATCTACACGCTGTTGTCATAGTACCAGATAGTATTGTCAGGACTCTATCACCCGGAGAGCCCGAAACTGAAGCCGTGTCAGTTGCCAAAGCCTTGATCGTACTACCTGCCGCTGTGTATAGAAACTGGGTTCTTGTTTGCTGGGCAAGTTCTTCTAGAACAGAATTAAGAAATGTTTGCTTTAAGTTAACATCATCGAGTCCACCAAGTATGTAGAAATACTGGGAGAATTGTTGATAGTGTCTATCAAGGTCTTTTGGATGGAGAGAATAGCATTTTAATCTGAAGAATTACTCTCTGATCTTTTCCAATCTGTGAGTTTTTTGTCCACAAAAGATTGCTGCAAATTGAGAGACATCGTTTATGATTGTTGGGCATTAAAAAAACTGGAGTTGTCTGTATTCACCAATGTTGTCCAAAAAATTTTTCAGGGTTCCAACTAGTCTGGAAACAAATCTGATTAAAATTGTGTTCATCGTAACATTGGGATGAGAGTTTAATTCAACGAGTCCCCATACTAAAAATTCTTGAAATCTTGAGGGCCATTTTGAAGGAGGAACATCATCAATGGCACCATTTCTATACACAGCGGCAGGTAGTACGACCAAGGCTCTGGCAACTGACACAGTTTCAGTTTCGAGCTCTCCGGGTGGTAGAGTCCTGACAATACTATCTAGTATTATGACAACAGCGTGTAGATCGATTAAACTTGACAAGATAATACCAACCATAAGCTTTCCATAGATCAGACATATAACCAATGTATTCTAGTCGGTGTTCAAGACTCTGGCGCCTTCTTAGCTTAAACGTCGAACTGGGGGCCTGACTTTTATGGAGATATGTCTTTCACTATAGTAACTTACTATTAGTATGATCTTGAGGTGGTATGACTTTTCTTTGACTGAGGGAAAGGGATCAATGATCTATTTAACAGAGTAATAAGAATTTCTGATGCAGAGGATCCATAATAATATGGTAACTGCAGAGCATATTCAACTTGTATCACTGCAAACTTTGAATAGTTTGAAGAGAAGTATGAAGCTAAAAGATGTAACTATGGAAAAAAGAAGATGAAATTACCAAAAGAGAAAAGAGATTTTTAGCCAAACATATTTTATAAAGTAAGGTTTTGTTACAAGGGATTTTCTTGATTGCTAAATTGATAGATGATTACTTCTTAGAGAAGTATCATGCTATTTATACAAGAAAAAAGTAAAGGACTAGTAGCCTAATAAGACAAAACTAGGACAACTCAACTTTACAAGTGGCTTAGGATAAGACTAAAGGACAGTGAGTCATAACTAAGATACAATGACTCATTACTATGGTACAAAGGTTCATTATTATGATATAGTGACTCATCACTTAAGGTACGATGACTAAGCACTATAACTCATACTAAAGTACAATGATTCATTATGACTCTTTCCAGAATACATCCAAGAATTATACATTCACCTGGCACATTGGATTCCTGAACCACCTTATGACACTTGGTGGAGTGATTTATCACAAAGACTTGTTAATTTTGATCTTCACTATCCTTCAGAATTAGCAGAACTTCCAACAAATCCTTACTAGCAGAATGATGAAGATCTCTCCAGACTTCGAGCAAGATTTGAACACAGAGTTTACAATCACTTATTCCAATGTTGTGATTCTACTCCTGATGATTTTGAACAAAAACTATTCAGGTAGATAGATGATTGTCTCGTTCTCCAGTACCTTAAAGATTTTTCAGAAGATTTCTCAGAATGATGACACTCATGGATAATCCAATTGCATAATCCAATTTTGTGATTCCCGTTTGAAACCTTTCAATTCCCAACTCTACTTGGATCTTAAATTTTGGAAGGAAAAAAATTAAAAATTTTTATTAAAATTATGTTTTGATATTTATTTATAGTCTTATAATACTTATAATTTTGTTATTAAATCAGTAATAAATATATTTTAAGACAAAAATAATTTTAAGATTTAAAATATTAAAATTTTAATTTTAATAAAAAAATTAAAAATTAAAAATTAAAAATTTTATTAATTGATCATGCAAATATTAGCAGATATAATACTTTTTATTAAATGCTAATGATTTCATGGAAATTATACAAAATTAAAAAACTATTATTACGAAGATAATTTTTTTTTCGAGGCGCAAACAGAGTGTTGAAAATGTTAGCAAAAAATTACTAAGATTCGAGTTAAGGTGGGACGAACAAAAAATCAGCCGTCACCATATTCTTAATTAGTGCTAACTGCCAAAGTGGGTCCCTCTCCCTCTAATGTGTTGTGGCCAGCTGACCTAACCCTAG